TATTTTTTTATTTTCTCTATTTTTTTCATTTTTAAACAGATTTTTATCAAATTTTAATCTGGAAATTTGTTAACAAAACCCGTGATTTTCTGGAACTAAAAAACTGGATTTTTCCTGATTTTTGTCTTTTATTTTTTTTACAGGAAACTGCCAGATATTTTGGAATTGAAACAACATACAACAGAATAATGCAAAATTATTATTGGCCCCAGATGTATCGTAATATTGAAACTTACATTAAGACATGTGATATCTGTCAACGGAAAGGATGGCTGCATAAAAATAATACTTTAACACCAATCACCGTAAAAGAACCATTCGAAAAAGTTTGAATTGATCTCGTAGGTCTCTTACCAGTCATTATCAATGGAAATCGATATATTGTAGTCATCATAGACTATTTAACCAAATGGGCAGAAGTGTGAGTAATTGAAGATACATCAGCACAATCAATCATACCTTTTCTTTATGAAGGTATTGTAATGAGACATGGATTTTCACGTGAATTATTAAGCGATCGAGATATCACTTTTGTCAATGAAATCATCAAAGAACTTCTGGAAAAATATCAAATCAAACATCAATTATATGCACCCTACCACCCTCAAATCAATAAACTCGTAGAAAGATTAAATCGCACACTCTGTACTTCATTATCAAAATTTGTTCAACTCTATAAGAAAGACTGGAATCATTATTTACCATCAATTTTGTTTGCATATCGAACAATGAAACAAGACACAACAAAATTTGAACCTTTTCAATTAGTTTATGGTTATCAAGTCATCACATCACTCGAACTACAACTCAAAGATCTGGATAATGAAGAAATATCATTGGAAGAAGCCATCGTTAAGAGAGCATGTAAAATCATCGATGAATTGGAAGTAACACGTGAAACAGCTCTTAGTAACATTCAAAAAGTGCAAATCAAACAAAAAGAGCAATATGACAAAAAGAAAACACCAATCTCATTTCAAATTGGACAAAAAGTTTTGATGAAAAGAATGGAAACTCAAAATTGGCATCATGAAAAATTTGGCGAAAAATGGAAAGGTCCCTTCTACATTCATAATATTTTCGATAAAGGCACATATAAACTTCGTACATTGGATGGAAAAGTATTAAAGAACTCTTACAATGGTGATCATCTAAAGTCATATGTCAAATTTAACAAATTGAAGCCAGTCATCATAATCAACAACAATTGATTTGTGGAGCAAATCTCTTAAAGTTGAGAGCCCTGTCACTGATTCAATATCGACTATAATTTCAAAAGAACACGTGAACAAAAGAAGTGGCACAATAAAAATTAGTTATAATGATATTTAGACTATGTAATTGATTTGATAATATTCTACTCCCTTCTATTTCTTTCTATTTTTTTCTTTTTCTTTCTTGTATTATCTATTTTTCTATATTTATCTTATTGTTATCTTTATTTGGATATATTTATCACACCATTTTCTTGGCAAATTTCATTATTATTTATATTAGTTTAGCCTTTATTTTCTATTTTTGCTATTGGTATTTAGATGTAGAACAAGATTATTAATTATGATGCAGTTAAATTTTGTGTAATTTAGAAGAGAACCAATAATTTCATAGTATTAGTGTAGATCTACTATGTCACAAGCTGCGCTGCAACTGCGTCATGCTGCGTCATACTGCACATTACTATGTTACACTGTGCCATTGTAACATGAAAATATGTATAAATACAAGTGCTAATAATTAATAAAAATCAAGTTCTCTAATTCATATTTTAAGTTCTCTCAGTTTGATTTAAGTTCTTAAGTTTTGATTTTGAATTTCTTTTGGTTTAAAGTCAAGTTTGACAGGTTAAATTGATTTATTTTTGGAATTATAAGTAATTTTTGATTAAGTTTACCTTTTAGTTTAGTTTTGTTATTAGTTTAGTATCTTCATCACTTTTATCTTGTCAAAAAACATCATTTATCGTCATAAATACCATTTAGTTATAGTATTCAAAGTAAATTGCCGTGAATACAATCACTTGCCATATCATCATAGAAAATGACTCTGAAAATGATGACAATGTTAAGAAAAGATATACTCATGAGATGCGCAAGAAACTAAGCTAATTCATCTTTGTTTTGTGAAATTAAGATATATTGATCATCTTTACTGTGAGATATAGCAGAGCTAGTGTTTGAGACACAGTTTTACGAGCTACAAATATAAAAATATGCGTTGTCTAGAGTTAAATTTGCAGGTTCGTCCTTAACAAAATTATCATTGCATGATATAACAATTGAACAATCGATCGAATAATCAATTTATTTACTATTACAAAGCAATGATCCTTTGGATTTACAACATGCCACTCAATTCATCTGACATTTTTTTGTTCATTATTTTTATTGCTGTAATTACGATCTATGAATTATTTAATCAAGACATCTTAACTACAGAGACATCACACAATTATTCCTGGAAATGGAACACTATATATAATTTTCATTATAGCATTTATATATATATACAAAATAGTAATACTGAGTGATCCTTCTATACAAAAACTCGAAAAAGCAATTCTAGCACTTAATAATGAAATTAACAGAATGCAAACTGAAACAGAATGGAAAGTGAAATTCAGTCTCAAGGTATTTATTCAACAACGTGATTATAGTGGAGTATATTAATGTATTTTTAGCTCTAATGTATTGGCTTTGCTAATTAAAGAACAAGAATCTGCAAAAAGTCACAAATTTGAATACTCCGATGAAACTGAGACTTTCTGAATCAAATTTATTACCTTATTTAATGAGAGAAGGAAGAGGGATGGACATTCTCCCACGAAAATATATAACATCTTATCTGAAGAGATAGATCTTAGTCCAGTGTCACAATCAGGCTCCTGGTAAATATAATTGTGACGTAGATGTTCAACCAACATCTGATGATGGTATTTTTACAGTTACTCAATCTCGTTGTAATTAATATACTTCAGAATCATCATGCAGTGCGTTTTCTTCTATCTTTATAGATAGGCTCTCACTATTACTAATAAATGTTGTGTCTACTTAGTGTGGGACA